TTTTCACTGCAATAAAGCTTAAAAATATACCACTAGACGCAGTTTTTACACTGATTACAAATCTGAACTCAAATGCAAATTAAAGTTAAGTTTTCAGAGTGGAAAATTAAATTTAAAAATTTTTAAATTTTAAATTTTAATTTCCTAACCTAGATATTTTTTCAAAGATTATACAAATTATACCATCGGATAGAGAATCAAAGTCTCTACAAAACGTCTCATTTTTTTCATGTTGGGATGCCAAAATTTCTTTTTTTCTTTCTTAAAAAGAGTTTCGGCGCTTATTCTTTTTAATTTTTTACCGCATAGAATCACTGACCACGACTGGCAGAAATTCTTCATTATCTTAGAAATGCCTTTCATCAGATTAAACATCATTTTTTACCTATTTCATGCTAATTTCACAGTTTTCAATAAAAAGTGCGAGAATTAGTAGAAAATCACTTGGCCGATTTTGGGCCAGACTGTCTGATATAATTTTGTCTGATACAAATTAGATATTTCGCAAGGAAAGAAAATTTCTTTTTATTTCTATGTATAACTTTGTTCTTTGTTTCTCGACGGTTCTAATGGCGCAAGAATCAAAGGTCCAGCGCTTAAACTTGATTCCTTTTTGAGGAAGTAAGCTGCTTTTTAAGCACCTCTTGAAAATGAATTTTTTGAAAGGCTTAACGCTTCTCGGGAACCTTGAAATACATTTTTCTATAGTGGCTGTCATCCGCTGCTCCCGAAAATAATATTCGGAAGGTTCCCCGGCCTTGTGGAACTGAGATAAAGCATGTTTTTGAAAAAGTGGAGATTTTTCGAAGAAACACTTCTTTTCAGTTTTATGATTTTTTTTGCCGAAAACGCGCACTGAAAACTTTTTAAATATGATACTCGTATACAACTTGAAATTCTGCGTCGCATGATGTGTATTTGAGGCAAAAATAAAGTCTTGCTTGATCTTTGAATTAGCGGAACCTTAGTAAGTGCTTAAATTCTGAGGCATATGCGTATACCCAGGACGATGATTACGACAGCCGTAAACGGCCGTATACTAGTTTATGATGAATGATACTGCAGTTTAGGATGATGGATATTGTAGTATACATCAAAATACGTCGCTGTTTACGACGAAATACGATGACGTCTACCGTGGAGAAGGATTACGACGGCGTGTTTTTACCTGGAACGGAAGCGACCGTTTACAATGTGATACGTCAAAGTACGACGTCATATACGATGGGGTAAAAAGTCATATACAGTCGTTTTTCGTCATAAAACGTCGTATACTGCTAATTTTCATGCTATGTTGCACCGGTACGCACTAGTTCCACATTTTTGACGTCACCGTTTTGTTATCTACGATTGATTCCACTGTGCTTTACTCGGACTTTTCTTCGAGAACATAGTGGAATCAAATTTTAATGCGTTCGTCGGACAGACAATGCTTTTGTCATGTTATAATCTCTGAAAGAAAAATCAGTATGAATAGAGAGTTGGGTAGTAAATTCAGAGGACGTACACAACAAATTCAGCTCTCTGTTCCTTTATCCAAATAGGTCTCATTTTCAACCTTTCATGCATTTCTCACGTCTGCAGTTTTATTTTGAGATCCTTATACATCAAACATTAACTGAGTCTACACACTGAGAAATCTCCTACATGTGGTGCATTTTTATGATTTAGTTCTATTTTAAAAAGACTCAAAAAGCAGATATAAATTGAAAACTCAACACATATTTTTTATTACATTCGTTTTCAAATTTTTTGGAAATTGAGTCTTTTCAATTTAATGCTATCTCGATATTTTCTGTCGTGGTCATGACCAAACAGTACCGATTACACCATGTTACTCTCTAAAACCTATAATTCACTCGGTAAACGCGAAAGAATACATACTGATAGAAGAAAAGAGCTAAAAATGTTTTTTAAACGTTTTAGTTATCCAAAAACGACCGCTACTCTGAGGTATGTTCCAGTACGAATCAAAACTCACTACAGTTGTCCCCTGCTTTTGCGCAAGTCGAACTGTGGGTCTGACATTTAACCTTTGCAAGCAGTATTCTTTCAAACAAATATTGAAAATGTGAGGGATATGAGGAATTTGATTGACTTTGTTCTCGAAGAAAAGTCCGAGTAAAACACAGTGGAATCAATCGTAGATAACAAAACGATGACGGGGAAAATGTGGAACTAGTGCGTAACGATGCAACATAGCATGCGCACTGGTAGTGCCGGTCTTTTTCAGTACTGTACTACGATTTTTTTGTCGTTTTCATCGTAAACTACATTTTACGGCCTTGCAGCTTTGACGGGTAGACCCAATCTCAGAAAAATACAATCTGAGTCAAATGCGATTTTCTGTTCAGCAAAGAAAATACGAGCATATACGACCATTTACGCTAGTTTATGACGGTTGTATACGTGTACCCTAGACAAGAATTTTTTGCTAAAACTGATAGGATTCTTATAAGAACCTTATCAGTTTCTTATATAAGATTGTTTAATCTTACATTTCCATCGACAGTCGTAAGTGTCTTATAAGAATCTTATAAGATATTCATAAGAGGCTCGTAAGAAAAACATAAGAAGGACCAAAAATTCTAATGTTGTTAATACGTACTAGAAGGCATCTTATGAGTCGGCTTTTACGATTTCTGTTATGATTAAGTTACTTCTACTTGCTCTCAAATCTTTTGGGCTAGTAAGTGGCCGTAACGGTCATTTATTCTGATGACTTGTGAGT